AGATTTTTAATTTTCATTCAGACTTTTCTCTTCGACCTATGGATTATTTAGAAATGTGTTACTTAATTGTGAAATAATTTGAGGATTTTTCAGATATCTTCTAATTATTGATTGTAGTTTAATTCTCTTATCCTCCAAAAACATACTTTGTATAGTTTCTAGTCATTTAAATTTGTTGAGGTTTGTTTTATAGCACAGATTATGGTCTGTGTCAGTGAATGTTCCACATACACTTTTAAAGAAAGTGTGTTCTGCTATTGTTGGTTGTAACATTCTACAAAGGTCAGTTGCTGGTGTTTTTTAGATCTTCTAACTTCTTACTGATTTTTTGTTTTGGGGTGGGGGATCTACTTACTCCATCAGTTACTGAGGGAGGATTGTTAACATCTTCCATCTATAATTGTGTATTTCTGTATCACTTTTCAGTTCCATTAGTTTTTGCCCCAGTTATTTTAAAGCTCTGTTTTAGTTACATACAAATGAAGGATTGTTTTTTGCGCATAGAGAGTTCACCCCCTTATCGTTAGGTCGTGTTCCTGATACTTTTCCTTGTTCTGATGTTTACTTTGATAGTAATAGAGCTTCTCCAGCAACATTTTGGTTAGTGTTCTTCTAGTGTACCTTTCTCTAAACTTTTACTTTTAACCTATTTATGTCTTTATGTTTAAAATGGGTTTCTTGTATACAGCATATAGTTGGGACTTGAATACAGTTATGGTTGGGATTTGCTTTTTTATCCAGTTTGCCTCTGTCTTTAGCTCATATGTTTAGACAGTTCATTTCAGTGTTACTGTTCATGTGGTTGATTAAAATCCACCATCTTGTCAGCTGTTTCCTCTGTTTCATGTTTTATTTGTTTCTTGTTTTTACGCCCTTTCTACTACTAAGTACTTTAAATGGTTCTATTTTATCTCTTCTGTTGACTTTTTATTTATACCCCTTGTTATGTTTTGGCTGTTTACTTTTAAACATTTTATAACAGTAAAGCGTCTTTTGTGTTGTTGTGTGTCTTACCTTTTACCTTACATATGCTGTAAACACACAGTGCGTTGTCGATGTGTTTACTCTGGACATTCAATTATCTTTTAAACCAATTAAAAATAAGAAAAAGAATTTAATTTTACCTTCTGTATCAATCAAGATTCTACCACTTTACCAATAGTGTGTGTGTGTGTGTGTGTGTGTGTGTGTGTGTGTGTGTGTGTGTGTGTGGTCTGTAGCTATATAGATATATGGGTAGATAGACATAGCTAGATAGATAATTTCAAGAAATTGGCGTACATGATTGTGAGGTTTGACTGGGCAAGTGTTAAACCCGTAGGACCAACCAGAAACTCGTGGGCAGCAGGTGACACTGCAGTCCCCAGGTGAAATTTCTTCTTCCTCAGTTAAACCTCAGTTTTGCTTTTAAGATCTTTCACCTGATTGGTTGAGGCCCACCCGCATTATGAAGAATAATCTCCTTTACTTAAAGTCAGCAAATTGTAAATGTAACCACATCTACAAAATACCTTCACAGCAATACCTAGATTAGTGTTTAATTGAATAACTGGGTACTCCAGCTTAGCCAAGGAGCCCTGGTGGCACAGTGGTTAAGTGCGGGGCTGCTACCTGAAAGGTTGGTAGTTCAAACCCACCAGCCGTTCCATGGGAGAAAAGATCTGGCGATGTGCTCCCATAAGATTTCAGCCTAAGAAACCCTTTGGGCAGTTCTGCTCTGTTGTGTGCGGTTGTTATGAGGTGGCGTCAACTCGACAGTATATAACAACAGAGCTTAGCCCTGTTGACACAGAATTTCCCGTCACACCTTCATTTTTTCCATTTCGGTGCTCTTCGTTTCTTTGTGTACATCCAGATTTCTATCTGATGTCGTATTTCTGCCTGTGTGGGGTTTGGATTACTAAAGGCAGCGTCTACGTGAGTCTAGATTTTAGGCTTCCCTCTGTGCTGCTCTCTCTGCATGTTCTCTTCCTCTCCTGTCCTTCACACAGCGGCAATATTGTGCTGTTACCTGTTACTGAAAGCTGGTTAGCGTGACATTGGGGAGGACGCAGCGCCATCTTTGTTGTTCTGATTCAGCCTCAATCTTAGGCATGCACATGCTCTAGGTCTCTGGACTATGGCCTTCTGGGTTCCCTTACCCCTCCCCCAGCTGTTGTGCAGGGTTCAGCAGATAGACCTGCCCCGCCCCCAGGAGTAGAGTGGTTTTTCCTTCCTCCTGTTCCCTTTACCGCTGCAGTGAGTTGTCACTAATGTCCTAAGAGTGGCGGTGCTTGTTGTCCTCCCCACACAGGGTAAGGCCTTTGCTCTCTAGTGGAGATCAGGGAGGTGGACCCAGGGGAGTTTCTTGTTGTCCTCCCCACTCAGGGTGAGGCCTTTGCTCTCTAGTGGAGATCAGGGAGGTGGACCCAGGGGAGTTTCTTGTTGTCCTCCCCACTCAGGGTGAGGCCTTTGCTCTCTAGTGGAGATCAGGGAGGTGGACCCAGGGGAGTTTCTTGCCCCTACTGTATGGCTGCTGTTCATCTCCCCAGGTCTGGACCCCAGTGGACACTTGGCACTCTGTATGGTCTTTCCTGTGAGCACGAGGTTGGGTTTGAGGGCTGGAGCCTGCAGAAGAGTATAGACTTCCCCAGGGGTTTTACCCCCTCCTGCTGCCTGCACTTGCCCTTAGCCAGTCCGCCAGCTTTTTCAGCGGAACTTTTCTGACTGGTGTCCTGTTGCACCTGCCCAGGTGACCCAAGCTTGTCTCCTCTCTTCCTGCAGGTACTGTGCCTCCTTAGAGTTTGGGCCATTATTTGTCTAGAACCTCACCTTCTTGATGGGTGTGAAAGAGACATAAAGTTCAAGTTAGACCAGCTCTTCTTAGTTGTAAGGGTGGGAATAGTGCTCCTTCCAGCTCTACATTCCGTGGCAAATCGTGTCGAAAGTAATGGTTTTTAAAATCGAGTAAATCCCATGTGAGTGAGCCTTGGCAGCGGTGCCGGCCTCTGATGAAGTGGGCCTCCTTTTTTTCAGCAGCCTCTTCTCCCAGGCCTCTTGTGCCTTCACATCTTTTCTGTTTTCCTCCTTAAAAAATAGACAGAAAAAGAAGTTCTCCTGAAAAAATTTGATTTAGCAGTGACGTGGCAAATTTTAAACAAATTGAGGATGACACAGTGATTTTAGAATTCCGAACATCAGAAAAGGCATGAGGAAGGCAGGAGTCATGGCATTTACCCATCAGTCAACCGTTCAGTCTCCAGCAGGGCAGTCAACTAGCGTGGATGCTTAGTGGGATCTGATAAATAGGTTGTTATTTTATTTATTTCCTTATTTCACAACACAATAAAGCCAAAGACTTATAAAGTCATATATTAAAGGAACCTAAATGCATGTTTTGTCTTTAGCATTTTATGTATAAAAACTATACTTGTTCATGATAAACAAAAGTTCTAGTCTATTCTATCGCCAAAAAATAATCACCCTTAAGTGTTTTGGTGTAGAACCTTCGAGATTTTTCCTGAAACTTACTTTTGTAATACTGGAAAGAAAGCCAGGTAAAATGCCTGTTGCTTACTTCTCTTTAAATTTTGGTCTCTTTAAAATATACGTGCAAGTGCAGAATGTAGCCTAGCTAAGCTGTATGTGCTCAGATGTCTCCTTTATTATATCTTAGTGACAAGGACCTAGGACAGATGTTTTGCATTTCTCCCCTTTTAGCTGTTTAAAGTTTATTAACCTTCTAAGGGAAAGAGATGGAGCCCTGGTGGTGCAGTGAATAAAAGCTACGGCTGTTAACCAAAAGGGTCGGCGGTTCAAATCCACCAGCCGCTCCTTGGAAACCAAATGGAGCAGTTCTACGCAGTCCTGTAGGGTTGCTGTGAGTCGGAATCGACTCAACAGCAACGGGGTTGGGCTGTGTGTGTGTGTGTGTGTGTGTGTGTTTTAAAGGAAAGAGACTCTAAAGTTTGCAAGATTCTTAATAGTTAAGATTTTAAATCCAGTCCCACATGAGGTTATGACAATTTTAAAACGTCCCTAGACCGTCCAGAATTGTCCTAGTTAAACATAATCAGTCACATGTGATGTTATTTGCCAACGTTTATGATTTTTAGTTAACGCACCCCTTTCTGTGCGGAGCGGGTTGAATCATGTCATAGAAAAAAAACATGGGACAGTTTAGCACCTCTCTTAGTTTAAAAAAAAGAAGACATCTTAAATATTAAATGAGTATTACTACTCAGAGGACAATTGAAGCTTGTCTAAAATGCTGCTCAAGAGTTAAGGAAAATAATTTTGCTCACAAATGCCAGGTACCATCAGGTTTTCTTTGTTTTTGTTTTCATTTGTTTGATAAAACAAAGGTACAGAGAAATAGAAAAATAGCTTAGGAAAAAGTTGTATTTAACTCTTCCTTTGCTGGTTTTTTCTGCATAGCTGGTCTTACTTGAGGAATTTCTCCAGCGTCCTCTGAGTCCCGGGTTTCCAATTGTGCTTATGGAGCACTCCTCCTCAAGGTCCTTCCTGTCCCAGGTCCTCCACAGCCTGCCCTGGCTGCGGCCCCTCTCTGGCAAGGCCTGGTGTCTCTCGGTACCTGCATTCTCCCCCATTTCATTCTCCGCAGCTAGACTGTAGGCTTTGTGTGGGCAGGGCTCTTGTCTCTTATATTCCTCACGGTGTTTGTCACCGGGCTAGCACGAAATAAAGATTGCACTTTTTTTCTCCCCCGACTCGTAAAACATTCAGTAACCTGCCCCCTGGGTTCTTTCCGCTAGATGAGAAGCAGAGATTCAGTTACGAGCGGTCGGGGTACGACATTGAAGACTCGGACGGCCCCGACGAGGATGACAATGAGAACGAGGATGATGACGAGGACAGCCAGGCTGAGTCCACCCCGTCCGCGGCCCCCTCCGTCGCAGCCAGCCCGCAGCACCTGCCGTCCAGAAGCAGCCTGCAGGACTCCGTGAGTGCGGACGAGGAGACCAGGGTCCCCGACGGCTTCTCCGGGGCACACGCGGACCCGATGGACGTTCTGCCGAGAGCGTTGCTCACCAAGATGACGGTGCTGAGCGCAGTGCAGTCGGATTATGGTGGGAAGACACGGTCTCCCGGGAAGACCAGGCAGCATGCTGCGAAAGATGACGACGAGTCAGTCTCCTGTGGAGACTCCTCCAGGTCACCCGAAGCTGCGCCCAGATCTCCGTGTCATCTGATGTCTGTGGACGACCCTGAGGCAGAAGACGTCCTGAGGTGCTCTGTGGCAGGAAAGGCTGTTGCTTTAACACAGGTAAGTCATCTTTTTGTTCTTGACCTTTTTCTCAACCTGTGACGTATGGGGAACCTAGCGGCTTCAGAGGGGGCAGTGGGGGTTCAGTGGTAGAATTCTCATCTTCTCACCTTCCGTGCAGGGGGCCCGGGTTCAATTCCCAGCCAGTGCACATCATGTGCAGCCACCACTCATCTGTCAGTAGCGCCTTGTGTGTTGCTGGGATGCTGAACAGGTTTCAGCTGAGCTTCCAGACTAACACAGACTAGGAAGAAAGGCCTGGCAAGCTGCTTCCACAAATCAGCCAGCGAAAACCCTTTGGATCACAACAGTCCAATCCCATTGTGCATGGGGTTGCCATGAATTGGGGCCACCTCCATGGCAGCTAACAACAACAAAGGCTTAAAAAAGAATAATGCACTTAACAGATTAATGACTGATGGCCAAATCAGTTTATATAACTCTAAAGTAATTTTTTTTTTTTTATTTAGGAGCAAAGGACGTTTTATGTCCTTTGGGTTCTTGTTAGGTATATTAATCAGAGTTCATGTACTGTATTGCAGATCTGTGGAAAAAAACAAATGGTTCTTAAAAAAATACACCCGTTTATTATTTTTTGCTTTTTGCTTTTTTAATTTAAAAGTAAAAAATGTGTATGCGCCAGCTGAGAACGTGAATCCGGGGGCTGACTTACCTCATGGCTTACCGTGAGTTGTTCTTCCGCTAGTGTGAACATGATGAGTTTGACTAAATTATCCGAACATTTTGTGCTTTGCCCCTGTTGGCAAGACAGTGACCAGTTTCTGTGGCAAAGTTAATGTGACCTGGTAACATATCGAGAAGTTCGCTTTGTCTGAAGTGATCAAATAGCTGTGGCAGCTTGTGAAACACTTCGTGCCCAAGAGCCAGCTGGGGGCCAGACCCACCCAGCCTCCAGAAAGGCACTGTGAGTCCCTGCATCCACCCCTGCTGTCTCGGGAAGAACGATTAATTCTGTGAGGCCTTCCTCCTCTTGTTGACAGCTCCCTTACCTCTACTACGTATTGAATATTGTAATAGGAATTATTGTTAAATGTGGCATAGAAAAATAGGAGAACTATAAAAGCGAAAGCTTGCGTTTCTGCAGACTGTCTACTCTAAATTAATATATATCTCAGATATTATCAAGAAAAACTAAAATTCAGATAATAATCCAGGGGTGGAAGGGAAGATGGGCAAGATGTATTCCTTCTAATAATATTTTAATATTGGTCACTCATGCTCTAAGCTTCTCTATTCCCATCTCTTCATGCCTGCCAGTACCTAGAACCATCTCTGGTTGTTGGGAGACATTTCAGAAACTTTCTGAGTAAATGAACAAATACGTGAACACCTACAGATCTTTTTCTCAATGACAGCTATTCCATAAATGAATAATTCTTCAGTTAATTTTTTCCCCTTAAGTAGATATTCAAGCCAACTAATAATCTCAGTTTCTCAGTGACTCCTAATCTCTAAAATGGAGTGGAGCCGGAGGTCCCAGCAACAACACTAACAACATAAAAATAGAATTATGGCCACCTCTCAGGGTCATTCTCAGTATAAAATTAGATGATGTCCAGGAAATTTGTTTGAAAAATGCAAGGTATACACAGCGTGTTGCTGTTATTATACAAAAAAATAAGGGATTAAAAATGTAATAGATGCATTCGTTGCAAATTTATTTTTCAAAATCAAAAACTTTTTATTAAGCCTAAAATTTTTGTAAAATACAAATACATGTACTTTTACCTCATCAGGAAGAATAGATTTTATGCTAACATTGTACAGAATTTTAGCTCATTGTTTAAGTGGGGCAGTGGTGGTTCAGGGGTAAAGGCTTTACCTTCCATGCAGGAGACCCCAGTTCAATTCCCGACCAGTGCCCATCATGCACAGCCACCACCTGCCTGTCAGTAGAGTTTTACATATTGCAGTTACGCTGAACGGGTTTCAGTGGAGCTTCCAGACTAAGACTAGGAAGAAAGGCCCAGTGATCTACATCCAAAATCAACCAGTGAAAACCCTATTGATCACAGTGGTCTGATCCACAGCTGATCATGGGGATGGCATAGGACCAGGCCGTACTTTGTGCATGGGGTGGCCGTGAGTCAGGGCCACTCAATGGCAGCTAGCAACAACAGCTGAGTGTTGAAGAAAGCCTTGCAATAAGATGATTGTTCTCTCTTGTCCTTCAGAACGCGTCGTCTGGGAGACTCCGTCCTCCTGCAGCCGAGCCCAGCCCTCAGCCAGCCGCGGTGGTTTGCTCAGTGGCCTTGCCTCATGCTGACACTCAAGAACAGAGGCAGCAAATCGGTCCCTCTCCCCAGACTCACTTGTTCAGCCACCTTCCTTTGCATTCTCAGCAGCAGTCAAGGACACCTTACAATATGGTTCCGGTTGGGGGGATCCACGTGGTGCCTGCTGGCCTCACGTACTCTGCCTTTGTACCCATTCAGACGGGGCCAGTGCAGCTCACGATTCCTGCCGTCAATGTCATCCACAGAACTGTGGGCACTCCTGGGGACACAATCACAGAAGTTTCTAGCACTACACATCCCGCTGGAGTGGCTGAGCTGAGCAGTGTTGTGCCGTGTATTCCCATCGGCCAGATCCAGGTGCCGGGCCTTCAGAACCTCAGCACGCCGAGCTTGCCGTCTCTGCCCTCACTCAGCATGGAGACTGTCAGTATCCTAGGCCTGGCCAACGCCAACATGGGCCCGCAGGCGCGTCCGCCGGGACTCGCCCTGAATGCCGTAGGCCTGCAGGTCTTAGCTGCAGACCCTTCCTCACAAAGCAGCCCCAGCCCTCAGGCACACATTCCGAGTCTCCAGATTGTGAACATAGCCTTGCCTACTCTGATTCCCTCAGTGAGCCAGGTGACTGTCGACACCCAGGGAGCTCCAGAAGGACCAGCGTCCCAGAACCCAGCGCTCGAGACGCAGCCCAAGCCGACTGCAGCAGCCACTGCAGATGAGGTCGGCAGGGTCGAATCTCCTCAGGGGTCACCTAAAGTCCAGCGGGAAAATGCAAAAAAATCAATCGATCCGCCTGCCCCGGCCACTGACCTGGCAAGGCTTGATGGCGCAAGTGAAGTGGGCACCAAGAAGGCCGCCTCTGTCACCCACGTGACGCCAAAGCACGAACTCCCATCCATGCGGGCTCAGCGGGCATCGGCGTCGGAGCCTCTGCTGGACACGCATCTGGAAGGGCCCACCCAGCCCGCAGGCTCCCAGACCCTGTCTCCACACAGACAGGCCCGTCGGCCCGCAGGCCCACCCCGCAGACAGATCACCGGGCACTTCAGTGACGCCAGCAGCGATGACGAGGACCGGCTTGTCATAGCCACCTAGCGGGTTTTGTTTTATGTTGTTGGTTTTTTTAATATAACACTTAAAGGTTTTTTTGAAAACCCTCCTTTCCTTAAAGCACATTTTTCTGACATAAACTCATTACTAATCTTTGTGCAATCATGAACTTTTGACCAATAATTGTTGTTTTGTGTCTGCTCCAGCCATTTTTGTACATGTTGTATAGACAATTGTGCCTTTTAGGAGTTTTCTGTTTCCAAACTGTACAGATTGTTGAATATCTATATACATAAAGTATATATTATATATGTATATTAAAACCAGGTAGTTATTTGTGTTTAGTAAGAAAAACCTGTCAAATAAATCAAATGATTAAATTATATGTTGCACTGTTAAATATAAATTTTTATGGCCATGGGGCAGAGTTTCTGTGTACAAATTAGTACGTAAACTCCATATTTATTGTGTTCATATTAGTCTTTGAAAATCGGTCTGTCCTCCTCCTTGTGTAAGACAGTAACTTTCCACGTCCGACAGATTTTCTGTGTTACGAAATGTTTCAGTAAAATACTGTTTACTGACGTTACCATAGCTCTAGTTTTGCCTTCTTTGCGCCACCTAGTGGTCAGCAATTGCATCTGGAAAGTAGCCCCAGATCGTGTTCTTTCCACGCTCACCCCCTCCCTTACGTCTGCGAAATGGAGGCCTTAGTGGCGGTTTCTCCTACGTGGAACTAACTGAAATCCATTCAAATGAGAACTATTTTTCTCATTCGCAGGGAGTGATTTTGTAGTTCTTAAATTAGAAGACTGAGTAAGAATATCTTCTGTGAGTAAATACGGCACGGGGTCTGAGATGGGCAAAATTCCTAAATGTGGGTTTGAAAATTTTTGCTAAAAGTAAAATAAGTTGCAAACTTAAGGCTCTAGTCCCCCGTCTGTTCTGACCTGCCTCTCGTCTCTCTGAGAGCCCTGAGCGGGGCGAGCCCCAGAGCGCCCACGATCTACTAAAGAACCAGATAAAGACACTCCAGTTACTTAAGTAATTTGCAAATGATTACTTCCCGTCCTGGGAAGTAACTGTCCTTACTCCAGAAAACAGTGGGGTGGGGGGGGACGAGACTGGCCCACAACCCCCACTGCAGTGGTCTTACTCCACCAGCATTAAGGCTGCTCTGTTTGCAGAAAACAGTGGTATGCTGGACTGTGAATATTTCACATATCACTAAGGAAATACATTCACATTTTTAGAGGCCTCTGAAAAACTTCATGAAGATTTCAGGGTATGGAGTTGGTGCTTCAACAGAGCATGGGGGACGAATTCTGAAGAGTTTGGAGACCTGCAGCTAGCTGGCTCCACTTCCTGTCTGTGACCTGGCAAAGGCGCCGGCATCCCCGGCCTGCGTTTCCGAATCCGAAGATGATCGATAGGACACACTGCGGCTTCAGTGGATGCCGAGGATCGCGGGTGCTTTGGGTGCCTGTCTCAGTTACATTGACACTTGCTACACATTAAGAACATTCTCCAAAAAATAAACCTACATTTTAGATTCCAGATAGATTTGAAAAGAATTCTGGAAACTTCTATCATGGGAATTGAATTGCTCTATCAGAGTCTGTGTGGTGCAAATGGTAACATGCTCAGCTGATAACTGAAAAGTTGGAGGTTGGGGTCCACTCAGGTGCCTTGCAAGAAAGGCCTGGCCAGCCACTTCCCAAAAATCTGCCATTGAAAACCCTATGGAGTACAGTTCTACTCTGATACTCATGGAGTTGCCGCAAGTCTGAATCAATTTCAATGGCAACTGGTTGGGTTTTATTGCCCTATCAATATAGTTGTTGAAAATGAGGTCCACTATCTGTCAAATTTCTCAAAATAAGTTTTAACTTTGTATTATGCCTTCATATTACACTTTTTTACCTAAAATTTTAAAACAGTATGACAAACATATTCTTAATTCCATAATCATTTAAGTATATCTGATTTCTCTAAATTCAAAGCTAATGCTCAGAATTTCAGTATTGAATTGAGTTTGTATGAATTTTCTTAATTTGAAGAATTCTTAACACTAACCAAAGACTAAATGTTTTACATGTTTGGGTTCTCCCTTGAAACTGTCATAATGTTCAAATATACCTTAAGCTTATTATGTGCTATTATAGTAGTATTTGAAATATGCAGCTAGATAAGAAACATTACCAAAACCTAAGCCATCATGCTTTGAAATGAACAAGATAGATAAAGGGAATTAATATAGTTGATTTTGAACTTAGTCATTTTTCCTGAAGAGCACTGTCCATTTGATGTCCCCAAATGCAAGTGACTTGCAAATAATGTAATTCAGAGAACTGTTGAGACTATCTTTGAATTTTATTCTGTTGTACTGTCATAAAAGACCCAAGTCAGTAGAGAAATAGAGCATAAGAACATCGCAAATACATTTGATAAAGTACTGGCTAAACAGATGAAAAGCATAATGTAAACAATTTCAGTATCATTCTTGCATGAATCAAGTCCTGGATATAGCTGAAGAACTGAAGGTCATTTTACTAGTTTTCAAAGATTATTATATCTGTGTCTTAGTCATCTAGTGCTGCTCTAACAGAAATACCACAAGTGGATGGCTTTCACAAAGAGAAATTCATTTTCTCGCAGTCTAGTAAGCTACAAGTCCAAATTCAGGGCATTAGCTCCAGGGGAAGTCTTTCTCTCTCTGTCGGCTCTGGAGGAAGGTCCTCGTCATCATCAGTCTTCCCCCGGACTAGGAGCTTCTCTGTGCAGGAACCTCGGGTCCAAAGGACGCACTCTGCTCCCGGTGCTTCTTTCTTGGTGGTACGAGGTCCCCCAATTCTCTGCTTGCTTCCCTTTCCTTTCATCTCTTGAGAAATAAAAGGTGGTGCAGGCCACACCCCAGGGAAACTCCTTTACATTGCATCAGGGATGTGACCTGGGTTAGGGTGGTGTTACAATCCCACCCTAATCCTTTGAAATGTAAAATTACAATCCCAAACTGGAGAACAACCACAAAACACTAGGAATCATGGCCTAGCCAAATTGATAAACACATTTTTGGGGGGGACATAATTCATGACATTCTGTTTTATGAAAATCTGTTACTAATTAACAAATCAAAGACATTCAAGTAGCTTAACTTTCATTCCCCAAATGTTGTTGTTAGGTGCTTTCGAGTCGATCCTGACACGTAGTGACCCTACGTATGCCCAGCCCTGCGCCATCCTCAGAATTCTTGCTATGTTCCAGCCCATTGTTGCGCCTGTGTCAACCCATCTTATTCAGGGTCTTCCTGTTTTTCACTGACCCTGTAGTTTATCAAGCATGATGTCCTTCCCCAGGGACTGATCCCTCCTAATAACATGTCCAAAATAAGTGAGACAAAGTCTCACCATCCTTGCTTCTAAGGAGCATTCTGGCTGTAGTTCTTCCAAGACAGATTTGTTCGTTCTTCTGGCAGTCCATGGTATACTCAGTATTCTTCACTAACACGATAATTCAGAGGTGTCACGTCTTCTTCTGACTCCCTTATTCATTGTCCAGCTTTTGCATGCATGTGAGGCAATTGAAAACACCGTGGCTCGGGTCAGGCACACCTTAGTCCTCCAAGTGACATCCTTGCTTTTCAACACTTTAAAGAGGGTTTTTTCAGCAGACCCCAAACTTAAGGCCACAACAGTAATTATTTCTTTTAGAAGGATAATTAGCAGACGATATTTAACACAGAAATTTTGTTTCTCGTTTATTTTTTTCAGAATACAGCTATGATTTTCTTTTCACAGAAGCGGTGTAAATGATGCTTCTTTCATTAGTTAATCCTTGACCTGAATTTTAGGTGATGGCATTTAACAAGGATTATGGAGGATGATGATTATTTTTGTGGGAAGAGTGTCAAGATAATTAATATTTCTTTCCTGATGCATGCTTAGGTCAAAAGATAACATCAGTGCTCTTCTTGACTTTTCTGCTCTTAACCTTACATTTTGAAATCAAGTTTAAGCAGCGCCGGAAAGGTGACTTCTATTACAGTCGTTTTTGCTTGAAAACCATCTATATATTCCAAACAGACGTCAGATCTCCCTAAGATAGGAATCTTTTCCAAACCCGACCTGCCATGGCTTTGGAGAATTATCTATTTAATATTTTATGAAAGTTATTTTATGTGTATTTATAATATTTTAATCTCAGGAACTCCCTCCTATCGTTACTGAAAAAAACAAAAAAAGTTGGAGAGGACAAATGTAAAGCAAAAGTAGTAAAATATTTTTCTCTGCAAGTTTTATAACCTGAAAATCATGAAGCATTTACTTAACAAATATACTGGGTACCTGGTTCCTGGCACAAGGAGCCCTGGCGGTGCAATGGTTAAGCACTTGGCTGCTAACTGAAGTTAGAACCCACTAGCCACTCCACAGGAGAAAAAACCTGACAATCTGCTCCCAGAAAGATTAAAAAAAACAAAACAAAAAAAACCTGTTGCCATCAAGTCGATTCTGACTCATAGCGAGCCTATAGGACAGAGGAGAACTGCCCCATAGGGTTTCCAAGGAGCAGCTGGTGGATTCGAACTGGTTACCTTTTGGTTAGCAGCCGTAGCTCTTAACCAGGACAATCTTGGGGATGTTAGAAATACATTATCTAGACTCAGATAAAAAATAGCCCCACCACACAGGTCATTTTTTCCTGCTTTGGTTGCATGGGTGTTGCTATGATGCCAGAAGCTATGCCACCGGTATTTCAAATACCAGCACGGTCACCCATGGTGGACAGGTTTCAGTGGAGCTTTCAGAGTAAGACTAGGAAGAAAGGACTGGTGATCTACTATCAAAAATTGGCCAATGGAAAATAATAACAACAATAAAAAATTAGCCAATGAAAACCCTATGGATCAAAACAGAATACTGTCTGATATAGTACTGGAAGATGAGCCCCCTAGGTTGGAAGGCACTCCGAATACATGGTGGCTGCAACAGTGGAATCAGGCATACCAACAGACGTGAAGACGGCGCAGGACTAGGCAATGTCGCATTCAGTTGTACGTGGGTCACCAGGAGTTGGAGCCAACTCAAAGGCAACTAACAACAGTAACAAAGACAGTCATACTTTATTGCCTCATGATCGGAACACCCGCAGCGTATTCTCCATAATGGGGATTTCTGGACTCCAAGCTTGAAAAAGGGCATAGCCAAGTGCGCACGTATCGAGAATACCAGGCCCTGGACAGCAGTAAGGCAGGACAGCCTGGACTGTATTTCATGAAGCTAAGACAGCATCTCAGCAGAGTCCCAAGCAGCAGATACAAAAAGAAAGAACTTGTGTTTTCAGTGGGAGAGGAGGTGGGAAGGGGTTAGGAAAGAGGAAGGGAAGGCTATTGTGAGGGAAATTCCACGTCCCATTAATGTCTGTGTAAAACCAGGATGTACCTCACAGCAAGCAGGTACTGGGCTCGTGGCTCACAACAACTAATATTTGCAGACTAACCAGACATACAGATGGAAGAAAATATTTATCTTCAAGTAAGACTGCAAGATTAAAACTTCTAGGAGCATTCGCACCAAACCTTTCAGAC